CCATGACTCCCTTCCTTAGCATCGTCAGGAAGAGCCTGAACTTGATGGCTCCTCGGACGTTCCGATAATCGAGCATGGCCTCGATATCTTCAAGATGGTCGTTTGGGTCCGAGGTGCCATCGTAGGTGGAGAGCGCAGGCGGCTTCTCCATCCCGTGGGGGATGGGGGTCTCCATGATTTCCCGCGATAGGGAGTTTTGTGGTCGTCCTCGTCACTACAGACAAGGGAGCGTGAGGGCGAAGGATTGTGCCGAGGGGCTTGATTACGACCCATCGACCTCTTGCTCGGGGCCTCAAGTATGTTTCTTCTTGGGGTCGGGGAGCTCATCTCCTTCCGGGGAGGTGATCGGTCGCGCTTCTTGGAGGCCACAGGTTGGGGCCTCTCCAGCTGTGGTCGGCGCCCCCGTTGACGGAGAGAGGGGCTCTGGGAGTCCTCGCGTTGGTTTCTTTGCAGGGGAGAGCAGGATGAGGTATCCTGTTCCAGCATCTTGAGGCGCTCGTTCTGCTGGAATAACATCATATTGGTCTGGTTGATGGCTGCAAAGAAGGCAGTCATCGTCGGGTCCGCCCCTGCTGGTGTGAGGATGGGCTGAAAAGCATTCAGGCTCCTCGATCGAGGGGCGACGTGGTGTGCCGCGTCCTCGGATGAAGGGGAGGTAGACTGACCATCTCTCATGTCACTATCACGGGCGTGGATGAGCCCAGCTTGGTCCTTACTGTTGATGAGTGGGGCGAAAGCGGAATTGTGGACAACATCGTTGTGGCGTGGGTTGGTCATGATCTCGAAAATTAAAGTTGAAAGCTTTGATTCTTCTGCTCGGAGGAACGGGGAAGCTTTAGTTTCCCACAAATGGCACCACTGCTCGTACCTGGTCAGATGAGATCGATGGTCGGTCACGCGTCTGAGATGTTGAACTGCTGATATGATGGAGGGGGTGTACCTGAAATACACTCTGATGCCAAAGTAAGGGTCGAGTAGAGTGATAACAAGTACAGAGAGAAAGAAGTAAGAATGAGATTACCTGACCCTCTAGTGGAATAGGGTATTTATAGTGTGCCCCCAGCACAAGGCCAACGGTTACTATGCGTTGGGTTGGGCTACCAGACCCAACGCTGATAACTGCTAGGGCTAACGTGGCGTCGTGAAGACCAGTACGTGGTCTTCGCTCTAGTGTAACTGTTCCGTGCTATCCGGGAGGTGGAGGACCGAATAATTAGGGTACAAGTGATTACCTGATGACGCGTCTCCGCGTAGGGGACACGTTGAGAACGTGGGGGAGGTTAGAGGAGCTTCCCGAACTGGATGGGTTATGTCTGACAGTGGGGCAGAAGAGGGGCGAGTCAGACAGATATGAAGGTTCTGCTCGACTGTCGTTGGTCTGTGCCCGACGGGAGAAGATGTTATGTCCGGCAGGTCAGTCCCAGACGATGAGGTCTTATTGGACCTTCCAATCTGATGGGATTTAACCTGCTCGATTATGGGTCAAACATCAGCCTAATCCATAATATGTATCATAATATTATTTCAGACATGGATAACATTTCTAAACAATAAATGATAATATATATTAAAGGTTAAAATGCGCTTAATTGGTCTTTTGATAGACAAGGAACTAAAACAATTGCAACACTTAATTTTAGCTGTCTCTATCACTATTCTTTATAATATGTTACTTTATTTTCTTTTTACGAAAATAAAAAAAATTTTAAACCAAAACCCTTTTTCTTTCTTACAACTGTAATCGTAGCAAATACATTATATTTATCATTTTATGTAGATTCAAAATTTTTACTCATTCCATTGTGATATCTGTTGGCACAACCGCTACACTATTTTCTATTTAAACACAACAAATAAAACTAACAATAATGTGTGCATGTATACACATTAAAATTACTAGCAAATGATAAAAAAATTATCGATCCCACGAGGATTAAGTTAAATAATTTTAAACCAATAAAGTAATTCGTGAGTTAAAGAAAAATAATATCGAGTATTATGTGACAACGTTACATAACAACATAAATTTATAGTGAGTATATACCATAGTATGTGGAGATATTGGACAATGATCCATTCTATAATTTTCATATAATGCATATGGTGACGTGTTATGTTACGTTATGCGAGGCCATTTTCATGTAAATTTTCATATAATGATCCATTCTATAATTTTCATATAAATTTATAGTGAATACAAATTATAAACCTGAAAAACAATAATAATTTTTTACGATCATTCAAATGCAGGAGATCATTTGTGATGCACCCAACTTCAACATAATTGAATATATGTTAGTGATGATAGAAAAAAAAAATTGATTTGTTCTTTTCTTTCTTTCTATAAATTCCTTCATAACCTTCCACTTGCTTTAATGTAAGGGTTTCATTCTATCTATACCTCTGGTTTTTAGTCTTAAAACCAACTTCATTTTATCCAAAAGCATTAGCCAAAGGATAAAGCATGTTTCATTTTTTGAGGTACTACCATAATAATACAATACACATGGGTGACATATTTTATTCCTTATTTTAGATTTTCACCTTTATTAGTTCTTTTTCATCTCAACATTTATCACAACTTCTAGAAGTCTTTCATTTAGTTGTATCTTCTTATATTTAAGTCTATAAGGAATCAACAATCAAGCATTATGGCGACAGCACTCATTATAAGAACTGGTCGTTCACATTAAAAAGCAACTGAAATTCATATATTGAACATCTACTATGCTTATTCATTATGTGTACGTGTAACCCATGATATGCAATGTTACTTTACTAGTCTTCGTTGAAGATACACAGTTTGTTTTGACCTTCCATTAACCCATAGTTTGTAATAAGTTTCAATAATAGGAGAACTTCATTTGCAATTGTTAGATTATCTCTATCTTTAGTAAGAGGTGCGACAATAATTGTCTCCTTGGCAATAACTTTGGCCTTTTTATTATTTTTGTTTGGGCTTGGAGAAGCTTTAAGGGCCTTTTCATGTTTATTTATCTATGTGAATACTTTCTTTGGTGCTTCAACAAGTTCCTTCATATTCTTCTTCTACTCCTACTTAGTCTTCTTTAGGGGCTCTGTTATGCATAATAGTGTTTGCATCCTGTTCAATCAAATGCTCCATTTTAGTGAGCACAACCTGCCCTATTTCTTAAATAACATTTTCATCTCACATCTCCTATCTGTCTTTTTCATGATTCTCATATTCATTGACTTTATATTTCTCTTCTTTATTGTCTTTTCCAGCCTCATCAATTAGATCTTCTAAAACATGGTCTTCCTTGACCTGCTTAATTCTTTGACGAATTGCCTGATTTATGAACTCCAACAATAAATAGGGTGGTGTATTATGATACTATACTTGGCACAAGCTTTTGTTGAATTGACATTGCAAGTCATTATTTTCTAACAAAATTATGAGTAAATTTAAATAAGATAGGCCAAAATTAACTAGACTTCAATACCTTAACTTCAGTTTTTATGGGGTAAATTCGAATATGCATTGGCGATAACACATTTCTTCTAAATAAGCAACCACTCCATTTTCGCAAAACATGATTCGGAGATGCATCTGCAAATATTTCAGTGATGAATTCGAAAATGCATCTCCCAAATCTTCTCTACATGTTTTTTGGACAGAAACATTATCCTAAGTTTATAAATTTTTTGAATCCAAAGTCATTTTAATTCGACTAACATTGTCATTATTTGATTCAAACAATAATAAAAACGAATATTATAGAACAAGTTAATGCATTAATTAAAAAAATATCCAATCATATTACAAACATTGTTCTCAAAGTATGAAAAAAAAACTAAAACATCCCAAAATACAAATAAGAGTATAATCTGTTGCATATGCATAATCCTAACCCTTGGCTCCTCCTCTGTCGCCAATGACTCAAGCCAATTCGGGCCTCAATAAGAATGGAACGTGTTAGGACAACCACATCATCGCCACCTCTCTCAAACAGCCTAGACTCTATGCCCTCATATGTAATCCACATAATATTTTGACAGATAGCCAACACATCAATGACATGGTTATCCCTGGCTTGCTCATTCTCCAAAATCTCCTCATAAGCAGATCTAGGTGGACGTCCAGGAGCATTTGGTGTCCTGATAAAATGTAACACACTATAGAACGAAGTCATGTAACCGTCGACTTAAGATCACTAACTTGTCGTTGACATACTTCGATATTACTCCTTTGGTATCAGATGACTCTTCTAATCCACCAAAATGTAATCAAAATTACTACAAATGATGTTGTAAGGAGCATACACAAAGAGGGATCTAAGAATAAATTGCACATATACAACCTTTCGCGTGCATCAATCCAACAAATACCTGCACATCATATTCATCCCGCATGCCAGTGATTCAAGGTAAAATGAAATGGGATCAAAAGGAACAGCAACCCAATGAATGCTATATGGCGTCTAGTCAATGCCATCATGCTAAGTCCAGTCAATGTAGTGATTATCCTTGAAGTTGAAGATGAAAAAGTTTTAAAAAATGAAGAGAAAGAGTCTAGAGCGAGAAAGAGTCCAGCCAATGAATGCTATATATCTTAGAAGATGCGTCTCTAAATATCCCTTAAATTTAAAAACAAACCCTAAAACAAATACGAAAATGCATCTCCAAATAAAATGTGAACAAAAAAAAAATGATACGTAGCATCTCCAAAAACTATAATATATTTTACTTTCCACCAAAAGTTTGAGAGAACCTATAAGAATGAAAAAAATTGCCAAATTTTATCAATGGCGATAACAAAATTGGCACTTGGCACCAGCCCGTCTAAAATATGAGTTTAGAATGAGGCGGCAAAAGGTTAAATCACAATGTAAATGTAAATTTAAATTCTACAATTATGAGAACATGAAAAACTAACAAGTCTGATAGTCAGATTATAAATATCTAAAATATGCTTTCTTTTCCTTTAAAAATTTCTTCTCCCTGTCCATCTATTTGAAACACCAATATTTGATGTTTGTCTACCGTATTGATGCATTGCTTATTGATGAAACTGTGCAAATGCCAGCTGAAGTGGTGAGTGGGATATTTTTGTAGCATGCCTCTAGCTTCTCATTAGTGTGCAGATCGACTTGCAATGTCTCCCAAACTTTCTTCTTTGGGTTTAAGAGTTCATCAGGACTGCCTTCGTGCCCTGGGAATGTAATTCGTTCTCCAACAGAAGCAGAACTGGGCGGTTCAACCAACTCAACCTATGTACAGTAGTAAAGCAAAATTAGTACTCTAATACTCTTATCACATACTTCGGTGAGAGGAAGCAGTTCAAAGGAATACTAAACAAAATCAAATATAGATATAGCAGCAGGCGATGTAGATAATATGACCACACATGCGTGCATGCACTCCACTATAATGCAATAAACATGCCCTCATACTAAGCATCTCAATATCCACATACAGAAGCTAGGGGAGCTAGGGGAAAAGCTGGGAGACATTATGCACATTATTTCTGGACAAGTTAAGTTAAAATGGCAATCTAATTGTTAGTCCTTCGAACCCATACGGAACTAAACATTAATCTTTGAACTTACTTGTAATCAATAGCTAAGGGGAAGTTCAGTGATTGATTATTACTTATTAGTCTCTGTTAGTTGAAAAAAGCAGAGTAAAAACTATGAAGAAAATTGTGTATCAATGTTGGAGATCTTAATTGTCTTTCAGTCAATGCTAACCATAAGCAAACCCACTTTGTCTTTAAATCATAAACAACTGCCATGTGCTGTCATACTACATCGTAATAATCATAACTTTAGTCATACTACTATAACTGCACCACGGGGTAGTTTAAAATGCTAACAAGTGTGACCCGCGCCCCCTGTTGAAAAGGAAAATGCATTGTTTTTCCTTACCTTGGTGTGATCATCATTGTTAGCAGCAAGAACCATTGCTTGGGATTTAATGCCCCTCATGCTTGCTGGTTTTAAGTTGCAAAGAACACAGACTTTTCGGTTCTGAATAAAGCCATCAGCATTAATTAAACAATAGACAAACATCACCATCACAAGTTGTTATTTAAAAAAGAATATAGACGTCATAACAAACCTGCATTTCATCAAGTGGTATATACTTGACAAGTCCACTGACAACAGTTCTTGTCTGTTCTTCCCCAACATCAATCTCTTCAACATATAGTGAATCTGCATCAGGATGCTTTTCAGCCTTTTTTATGAGACCAACTCGAATATCAAGCCTTGTGATGGAAATATCTGGTTCAGCAGCAGCCTTGTTTTTGGCTTCATTTGATGATTTTGCTGCTGATTTTGCTCCTGATTTTTTCTTCCCAGTGCCATCTGTTGCAAATAATGGCACTAAATTGTAAACAATATTGAAAGTTCAGTTATCTGTCGATAAAACTTACCCTAGCCTAAACAGGGGTTTAACCAATTTCAGTTATTAATTAATGGGGTACCAATCAAGCCTAAAGTCGTTAAGCATACTACCAACATACCCAGATAAAATGTGTGCAATAACTCCTAAAATTTACATTAACTAAAAAACTTCATTATAAACTTTTTTTTTTCAAGTAAAGTGCGATTTAGAAAATAAAAAAGAAAAACCATGCCATAACATAACACCAATGACTTTCAAGGATTTTGATATCTCAACTTTTAAAGACTAACAAATTCTTGAACACTGGTTAATCAGCTTTTAGCCTGTAACAAATGAGAAATATCTGTAATGGTTACTATATTAATCACAATTATAGATTATAGAACTCTTTATGATGCATTGCTGTTAAATTAGAGTGCTGGAATTATAAAATGTCCAACTGTTCATGCTATTTAGCTTATTATGGAACAGAGCCAGCTGTCACATTCTGAGGTGAGAGACATTCTTAAGGTAGCTTCAATATATCATTCCCCTTTTTCTTGATATTCAGGTTCTCATGAAAATATAATGAACAGTGATAACAATACCTCATCGTCTGTCTTTGTTAACCTTTTTTAAACATAAAACTCTCATTAGAAATAGATGGAATAAACACCTGAAACTTTTGTTTTCTTCAACTGTGCGGCAACATTTTCAGCTGCTTCGGCCTCTGCACGCAAAACCCTATCTGCTTGACTTCCTTCAAATTTCTTCCTGTAGAACTCCACTTCTTCATCTTTCTGGTAAAAGGATTTTGAATACATCAATGACTCGAAACAAAAGTACAACTGCAATCCCTTAATTCATTTCCAAAGCATGCAACATACCAGTTCCCTGAACAATGGCTTTGGTGTTCCAATTTTATGGCCGGCACTCAGGAGATCCCAGGGTCTTCTTACTCTATCAACATCTCCCTTATCATCAGAAAGTGAAAGATGTATCTCCGTAGACAAATTTAGCTGCTTGAATACCTTCAGTGACATAAAACAGAAGATAATGTCTTGGAATATGTTAGGAACCAAAGAATTGAATTCAAAAGAATATAAAAATAAAAAATACTTTCAATGAAAAAATGAATAGAGTCTACTCTATTCACTAAACAGCACAAAATACACAAAAGATACCCTCTCTAACTCTGTAACATCCATATCCATACATGCTAATCCCAAGTCCTAACTACCTCATTAACAACAACAACCCTAACTAAATCCTTAGCTCAAGTTTGAACAAACTCATCCTTATCCTAAAAGAATAAGTCATCAAAATTAAAACAAAATACCAACAAAAGAGGCACACAAATATTTATGGAAGTTATTTTACCTCGAGACTGAAAGATGGCATAAAAGGTTCCAATAAACAAGCAAGAAGATATACAACCCCAGCAGCCGTTTTCATAACAAGGGAGCAGAGAGATTGGTTTTGCTTGTAAAGACGCCAAAATTCAGTTTCCTAAAATGTTTATTGCAAAAAAGTTAAGCAGATTACACAGCCATTTAACATCAACACAAAAATAGTATAAATTAATATTTCGGGGGACAGGAGAGGCAAAAATAGAGAAAATGTAGCAATTCCATAGTTACCTGCAAATATGCATTCCCCTCGCCCGATATGCTCATTGCAATTTTCAATCCTTGCTTGAGTTTAACCTTTAAAGTTTTGCAAAGAGAAATACTATCAGACTGTGGTAATAAGCAAATTAGAAGTAAAAAAAAGTGCATTCTGGTGCTTACAGGTTTGTTTAACTGCAACTCTTACACAAATTGTTCCTTGTTTTTTTATATAAAAAAACTCATTTGAGTAGGAGTTTTATATTCTCAAAGCTCTTTTGTTTTTCATCTTTTTGAACATAAAAGTTGTTATTTTTTTCATTTTTTATTGATTATTGCCCCACCCCCTTCCACAAAGTTCACCACCTCCACTTGACACTATTCACCCCCACCCCCCACCATTGCATCGCCATCGGAAATGCTCCATTTTCATTGCATTGCCACCTGATACGCTCCATTGTCATTGCTGACAACCTCAACCGGCGGAAGCCAGCCCATCCCACCATTGTTTTGGCAACTTGCAATCCCCCCCTCATCATTCCTGCTGCAAAATAACACCCTTTATTCACTGTTCCAGCCTAATACCCCCCACCAAGAACTCTTTAACTTTCTAAAATACTATCTCAACAAATTCACCAAGCAAATTTTTCAACCTTTAAAATTATTTTAAACTATCATTACCAAATATATTTCTTCTGTTTTGTTATGAAAACAATTTTTTCAAATTTGTTTGATAAAATAGATTTAAATTTTAAGAATATAAAGTAACACAGTCAAACATGTTTGCCAATATCATCCTATTTCAAAATAGGAATCAGAAACCTTCTCCATTGCTTCTATGTATTGCTCCAAATATGCAGCAACTTTGCTGGCCAATTTTTTGGTTGGATCATGGGAGTCACCGCTTACATCATCAGGAACAGTGGGAATAATGGAATCATATCCTTGACCTTTACAAGACAAAGTAAGTATGTAAATATAATGACATGCGGCAAAAAAAACAACTTAAATAAATAGTGATCATAATGAAGAAAGGAAAACATATAAATCTTCCGACTTCCAGCATATAATACTATGATAAAGGACGATTATTTATCAATAACTCCAAGGATTATACTCATAGTCCTCATGTACTTAATTCCTTATCATTTTTAGCAACTAATCAGCAAATGTTTCAAGGAGAAATATTACCAAAGAGTTAAACCAACCTGCAGGTTTGGCAATAAAACTCAAAACTCTGTTGACAAAGTTTCCCAAGTTATTCAGCAACTCGGTATTTAATTTTGCTTGCAAGTCAGACCACGTAAAAAGTGTATCCGATACCTACAAATGCATATCACAATCAATGTACTCAATAAAGGGAAAGAAAATATACATTTTTATTCTTAGAGAGAAATATAAATGTTAATATATGTTTGGAATATAATTACCTCAGGCCTATTTGTGAGCAAGTAATATCTCCATACTTCAACTGGAATAGTAGTGTCTTTTGCATCATTACCAAATACTCCGATGCCTTTGCTCTTAGAAAACTTCCCTAGAAATCATTTAAGTAAGATTTTATTACTTCGAAATTGAGAAATGACAAACATTACCATTTTTATTGAATGTTGGGTGTGTTTGGTTTCTGAAATCATCTCCTGTTTCATTTTCTTTTGCAAAAACAGCAAATCATTTTGACTTTGTTTCCTACTTTCCAATATTTGTATAGAAATTAGTGAGAATAAAAAAAAATGTTTTAACAGTCTCTTGTGCAAGTAGTTGAAAACACAAAACAAAGTGAAAATAAGATGGTTGTTTTTGTTATCGGAAAAAAAAATAGCAGTTTTGAAGTTCTTAGTGATGTATCGAAAATTTAAAATAAAAAAAAATAAAAAAAGAACAGTTTAAAGTTAATAGTGAATATAAGAAATGAAAACAGAAAATATTTTCCGAAACAAAACAAACCTTTAAGCCAAAAACATATTATTAATTTTAAACCTATATGCATCATTCACAAATAAACCTATTACCTGCTTCATAATTCAGGTATTCAGTAACACTAATAGTCTTCATTAAAGTCCAATTTTGATCAGTCCCGAGTAGAGTAGATGGAAACATTACCTGAAGAATAAATTCCGTCAATTTCCAAAGAACTATTGAACCAACAGCCATAACACACAATCCACCCCATCAAGCAACGGAAGGTGGTTCTAAAGGGCTCAAGTTAAGGAATCTAAAAGTAGAAATTGTGTTGAAAAGTACATTTTTTTAACTTTCAAGGAACTGAATGCACACATTTCAAGACAAAATTTATATATTTAGTACATTAATATGTGCCCTTATGTTAGCATTTGCCTTGTTTTCAAACTTCACTGAGCAAATAGCTGCTACACCAAGATTGCAAACACTGAAGAGATCCATCGGCATTATATAAGTGAAGTTAAAAGGCTTCAGTACTTAGAAGCAAGGGCATAGGATGGACACATGCTGATCAGGATTTACAGCATCCATGTGTTTATTTGAGAAAGTTTTTTTCCAGGTGAAATGTTCATTTCTAATCAGTGTTGTCCATGGCGGAGAGCAAAAATGAAGTTTGACGGAACACTATGTATTGTGTGAGCTTGACTGAGTATGTATGAAAACTTGAAGGAGGAATGGGATTCAGTTAGAGAAAGGGTTTGGGTTTTAGGTTAATGCTTCTTGGGCCTAATTTTCCAGACGCAATCATCATTTCTAATCAGTGCTGTCCATGGCGGAGAGCAAAAATAGTAGCTAGACGGAACACTAGATATTGTGCGAGCTTGATGGAGTATGAATGAAAACTTGAAGACGGAGGCATGGGATTTATAAGGTTAGAGAAAAGGGTTTGAATTTTAGGTTAATGTTTCTTGGGCCTAATTTTCTGGTCAGGCCTTACGATCAAACCCACTCCCCTTGTTTTTGTCAGTTTTTACTGCCATGGGCACCACAGCCGCCACAAATCTGGCGCCATGACTCACCATCTCAAACCTACCATGTCACCTATTTCATGTCAGTCTGATGAAATTCCGCCCCCGTCATATCCCATATTTGACAACACCATCCGTTTCTAAGCTCTTTAAGGAAGCTGTTCAAAACAATCCATTTTACACAAAAAAGCTAATGCAAATGTAGTAAAAACATTTTTTTAATATGTTGTTTTGGCTTTGTTACACCCTAGTGATTTGTTTTGTTTGTGAGAACAATTTATGTGGAATCCGAGTTCGAATCTGGATCAGCACATTTTCTCCTCCCCGTAAATGTTAAGTTGAGTATGTGTGGCCACTACATCAATAGAAACAAAAAAACAAAAAAACAAAAAAAAAAGACTAATGCAAAACATGCACATAACAGGTGAATAAACTCCCAGGGTCCCAATTTGACAAATGAAATGTTAAGAATCCCGCAGTGTGTGGCATAGTCGGAAAATGTGTTTATAAGTGGAAGGTATCTGTCACCTTAAAAGTTAATTTTGTGTTATTGAGTTTAGACCCCAACCAAAATTCTAAAATGAAACACAGAATAATGGCAGCGTGTTGAACATTTATAACAAAGAGGTCAACATTTTTAGTTATCAAAATATTTGGCTGTTTGGAGTGGAAATCATGTCAACTTTGTTGACACAAGTTCAAAACCCACAATAGTCATAACCAATGTTTTAAAAACGGAACCGGACTGGACGATTCAACTGGTTGGACCGTGAACCGTTTGCTGGTGCTGATCCTGACAGGCATAGAAAATTGGCAGTCCAAAAGAACCGGGAAAATCGGAAAAATCGATTTGAACCGTTGAAAACCAGAAGACCTGTTTTAGCCAGAACCAGCTAGGGCAAAAGTCCAGTTCCAAAACTTGAGCGGAAAATTCACTATTTTATTATTACCTTAATTTAGATGAGTGATTCAAAGGTTTCCTGCCTTGCGTTTTAAATGGTGTGGGTGGAGTTGTTTGGTTTGCGTGAAGGATTCGGAGTTGGTGAATGATTGAAGCAATGTTACACGTTGTAAAATTAGAGTAGGAGTGACAAAGGTGGGAACAAAGAGGATGGTTAGGCCCAATCCTAAACTCAATCATGAAGAATGAGAAGTGTAAACTAGGCAAAGTGGAAGAAATGTTATTGTGAGAGAGGAACACGAGGCAAAGACACGGTAGGCTGCACTGCTTATGGTGGCATCAGCTGATGAGAGAAAAGAAAACAAGAGCAGAACTATTAGCCTCTCTCATAATAGAAGGGTATTGGGCTAGTATTTTAGGCCCATTCAGTATGGGTGAACTCCCATGATCCAATAAGTAATAACACTAACAGGATCTTTCAAAGGGTCTATTTAGGCTTATTTTGTGATAAAATTTGATTTATCATTTTGACTCAACCAGCTGAACAGATTGAACCTTGATCTGAAGATCTCATTAGTTTCATGTTTGGTCCAGTTAATAAAATATTGGTCCTACCACAACTCTTTGAATTAAGATTGGGCCCAACTCCTTAAATTTGGTTTAGGCTTAACTCAATATCATATCTAATGTGAGATTCTCAACACATCGCTCTCAAGTTCCGGACTGGACATCTTGGGCATGACTGGAATGGCCTGATAATGGGAGCCCTAATGAATCTAGAATAAGCTCTGATATCATCCTAGAATTTGAGTTGGTCTAACTCAACCCTACAAAACCAAGTTGTAAGGTGAGGTGACGTTTGCCCCAAGCTTATAACTAGAATTCAAATCATACCACTGTCCAATATTGGACTCTAAACAACAATAAAGGCTGAAGCAAAATAAAAAGCATGATAATTTCGTAAGTGGTAACAACAATTTGCAGAGTAGAATGATTTATGGTAATTAAATAAATGTGACAGTATCTGGGAAAGGTAGCATGCTACAATACTGGCTGGGAGTGTGAAAGAAGCTAATATATTAGAAAATAATCAAATGCATCATTTCATTCTTTATGTTTTGCCTTAATAATGTTTTGGTCCTTTTTGTTTATTGAGTGTCAAATAGGTCCTTTAAGGCATCAAACTAGTCCTTTATGTTTTTCATAAATAACATTTTTGCCAACGTTGCAAATGTTAAGTGACTAAAAGGACCAGTTTGAAGCTCAAAAAACAAAAAGGACCAAAACTTTATTAACGCAAAACATAAAGGACAACACAATGCACTTGGCCTAGAAATAATACATAGCGAATTTGAACAGTTATCATACAAAAAACAAAGAGAAAGAAGAATTAAGAAATAGATAGGCAGATGGGAGTATATTATTGTAGTCCAAAAAATTGAAAAACAATAATGCATGAAATATCTTGTATGCGACTATACGTTACTACAGAACATCAATCCTGGATAGTGGCACAAAGCAAGTAATCTACAAAACACTAAAGCAAGATGGTTGTTATATCAAAGATTATAGATTCAAAATAGATAATGAATAAAAACTACACATAAATACTCAAAATAAAAAAAAAACCACAAAAGTTGAAGACATGTTCCAAATTAATAAGCCATACTTAAAAAAGTAAATAGCAATGAAGGCTTGAGAAGCAGAATAAATGGTTAAAAAAAATAATAGGCTTGCATGCTGCAATGTAGGGGAGTGAACAGAGGTTCTTAGCATATTAGATATAATGTGCATGGTTGATGTTGAATAACTGGAAGCCACTGCTTGGCAGTGATGAGTGGTGGAGAACACTGCATACGACTGGAAGAACTGCATGCGATCATTGGACTTAAGCTCATGACGGTGAACAAGATGAATAGAGATGTTTTAAACATGAATTACGATATAAATGAATGGAGGAAGGTTTTGAATTTGCTGATGCCAAGTATGTCAGTGAAATGTGGTTTTAGCTTTTCACCTCCGTGGTTCAGTAATGGTGCAAATATCAAAATATTAGGGTAGGAAAAGTAGAGAAATGGAAGCAAAATGGGGTTTTAACCTCCAAAATACAATAGCAATGCAAAATCTGCTGATAGGTGCAATTTAGGTGTCTGATTATATCCCTGTACAGAACTGGGACATAAAATTGTTCCAAACAAATTGAAAACATAAGAATTTGTTAACTCAGCCAAAGAATCACTGATCAAAGAATGAATTTTAGGAAGATAATAGAAGATAAGATATTGATACGTATAATCCCAATCGAACACTAGAGCACATAACAAATTAAGAAAATGCTCAAATTGTTTGAAGATAATAACTTACAGTGTGGAATGGCACATTGTCCTTTCCCATAAACTGAAATAACTCCACATTCTCCGGATTTTTCCACCATTTCTCCCAATCACGTGTGTAGCTTGCCGTGATTGATACATATCCAATAGGTGCATCAAACCAAACATAGAAAACCTTCCAATTTAAAGAATATATAATTTAAAATTACTGAACAAAAACTGAAAATTTGAAAGACCCAAAGGAAAACTTACCTTGTCACTGTATTTTTCATGTGGAACAGGTACTCCCCACTTCAGATCTCTGGTAATACAGCGTTTCTTTAATCCCATTTTGAACCATGAATTTGTTGTTTGAATAGCATTCTGACTCCATGATCCAACCACAGACATCTCGTTGATGTATTTTTCCAATTTATCTTTTAAAAGAGGGAGCTCAAGAAATAAGTGGTCTGTATCACAAACACGAGGACTATTTCGACAAACCTGTTACATATGCCAAAAACCTCACCTTAAAATTTCTCTAGACTTCCAAACAACTGTAAAATTGTACTTGATTGTGACAAATAAACATGTCTACTTCAGAAAATGTGATTTAATCTTAATATGTAGAGTAAATATATTAAGGTAGTACTGTAGTAGTTTTCCTGCCTAAATCACGGGCATTTTGGTAACTAAGTTTTGTATTAACTTTTTTGTGCTATAAAACATTTTTTACTCGTGCTATAAAGCATGAGATAAGGATCAACCTTGATTTAGTTTTAGTTTTAATGATTTGTTGATTTTCTTTATAAATAAAAATAAAGCAATTATTATTATTTCATTGTGCAATGTGTCTTATTGCTACTAACTTATGACTGTCCTTTAATTTGTTATTCTTCTCAGGTGATGTTGTTAAAGGAAAAAAAGGTTTATGATAGTCCTTTAATTTGCTATTTTGGTATTTCATTTTAGATACTAGGTATTGTTGTAATTTCGATATTGTTTGGGGGAAATGTCCTCTAAATCTTCCTTTTTCTCCACCAATACCTTTTAGCTTCTCCAAGTTTTCAGGTTGCTATAGTTATTCTTTACTTTTGGCATTATAAAACTAATAATAATATAAGTTGCATATAAACCACTCATTGGTACAATTTACTTATTTGCATGTAGTTTTATAAATCTCATAAACTTTAAAGCATACACACTCAATAATAAAGAAATAAAAATGTGAAGATAAGTACCAGAATTTAACTGCAATTTACAGAAAAATATTGTAGATAAGTATAAGAATTTAAATACAATTTCATCTAGCAACGTAAATAATAATGCATAACCAAGGAATGTGTATATCTAATCATGAAAAATAAATCTATTGCCGTTGAAGGCGTTATCAAGAATATATAGAATAAATGCTAAGGAATGAAACAGTAAAAACTGGAGAAAAAAATGAGTTTAAGTTTACTTTTGGTGGGTATACGCTTTTTTTTAAAGTAGTAATAATTAATAACTTTATTTAATATCAATACATATATAGTATGTAATAACAATTTTTTGCTTTAATATTAACAAAATATTAAATTAATTATTAGTTCTTCATTTCAACATTTTATTGTTTGAAATGAAATTAATCCTTTAAAATGTTGATTAAAAATATTAATCTCGTATTCTCTTTTTTTCGTGCAGGTAGATTTAAACGCAGAAGAATCAAAAGAAGTCCAACGAAAATGTAAAACATAACTGCAACGATAGGAGAGTACAATGAAACTCAAAGCAACTAAAAATTTCAAAACAGATAAATAACCATTCAATTCCCTAAGGGTTTGTGGTGAGACTACTCCTTGTTTGAAACTTCATAAAAATGAGTGAAAGTATTTGGAGATTTTGAAAACACCTCTAAAGCCCTTCTTCAAATTTTGAGATAACAATTCATCTTGATTTAAAAGTAAAATTAAAATGCGGTTGGATTTTAGATATTTAAATAAAAAAATTCAATTTGATGTAATATAACAGGAGAAAGTATATTGATAAAAATGAATAAGTTTCTCTTCAAATTGTCTTTTTCATGTGGTCAATTCATGCTTAAATTTATAGTAAGTCATCTTGTATCACAACTATTTTTCTAAAATAGTTATACATGATTTCTCGTCAGCATCGCGTAATTTCTTTTAGTTCCCAAAATTAGGACCTTACGCTCTCCTCCAAAGTCCTTCCCTCCCCCTGTAACTCCTAAACATAGCCTAAGATCATTCAAAAATCACACATGTGAAACAGAAATGCTTCCATAAATTTGACTGATACAACTAATTAGCACAAGCATAGAGCCAAAATTTTGGGAAAAGGGAGTTTAGTACCTTGCACCTGGGAATCTTCAATTCTGTCGGATTTAGAAGGTTTCCACACTTCTCACATTGGTCTCCTCGAGCAGAATCATACTCGCATCCGGGAATAGGGCATGTACCCTCCACAAGCCGATCAGCTAAGAACTTTTTGCATGTATCGCAGTAAAGCTGAAATTTTATAGACATTTAAGTAAAGCATAATAAAAACCCGTGCAGAAATCTTGACACATGAAACAACTACAATTTTCAACAAAATTGGAGGGTATGATGCTAACAACAACCAATAAAATATTTAAACAAATACATTTTAGCCAGAGAAACAAAAGACAACATAACACCTGCTGTAATGTGTCCTCAGAGAGCCAATTGTTTTCGTGTATCTTTTTGAAAATCGCCTGGCAAACTTCAGTTTGCTCAGGGGAAGAAGTCCGCCCAAATTCATCAAAACTTATATCAAACCAATCATACACCTCCTTATGAATGACATGGTATCTACAAACACGCACAGAAATTATCAATGGTCAAATTCTGCTCTAGGAATGACCCAGTGCCCATCAAGTGTAACATTCTCATATCAAAAACACAATTATCAACAACTCTGGTCCACATCAATGACATGCCCAAATTACAACAACATGCACACCGTGAAACATAGGCTTGCTGCAATTGTTCCTTTTGATTAGTAAAAGTTAGGGGCTAGTGAAACAACATTGTCAATGCATTGAGCAATTAAGCATCAAAAAATAAATAGAACATGATGACTACAAAATTACAATAAGCAAGCAAATATATGTTCCTTGAATTAAATCCAAATAAATAAAAATAAGCTACAGAGGAAATGAATGAATACTTGTCACAAATCTCTTTGGGAGAACAATTCTCTTCCAATGCTTTAGTCTCTGTTGCTGTGCCATACTCATCAGTACCGCAGATGTAAATAGCATTGTAACCCCGAAGCCGACAATACCGAGCGAACACATCGGCACTCAGCACACCTGCTCAAAAATCAAACCAATGCATGTGAATTTCGAGGCTATGAACATGAGAAACGAACTAAATAATTCAATCCAAGAAATGAACGAATCCATGAACATGCGAGTGAATTGTGGAAGGGAAATGAATCGGTGATTTGAGAGAGGGATTAGAGAGAACTTACATCCAATGATGTTGCCGAGATGAGGAACGTTGTTGACGTAAGGCAGGGCACTGGTGATGAGGATGTTGCGCTTTCCTTCAACTGGTAGCTTCGGAACTTTACGATTTTCCGACATTTTAGCAGGTAGTTGAAACTGATTTCGTAGCGTCGGAATCTACGATCGGCGGAGAGATGATGAAGCTCGCCGCCGAATCAACGCGAGAGCGAAAGTATAAGGAGGAGTGTAGCTTCTTCGTTAAACACAGCCGCAACACACTTGGGTTAGGGTACAAAATTACTGGCACTGTCTTGAGTTTAGTTAATCCTCCTTTGTGTCTATTTTATCTTTCTCCGTTTCTTTTTCTAATTTTGCAATAAATTTTTACAGCCTTTTTTTTCAATGAATCATATTAAGATATCTTTAAATTTGAGATATTGATTGTAATAGCATCAAGTGTTAAATAATTAAATTGTGTTATTTCGTTTTGTAAGTAGTAGATGTAAGGAAATTAAATATAATGAAATGTATTCTATATTCTTTTATTTTTTATTTCATCACTTGTATCTAGGTGGAAATTAATTTTTAATTAAAATATTTAAATAAAATGTGAAATATTCATTTTATTAGATCTTATCCACTTATTTATGTTTAATTATATTATCTTGTTGTTATGTTCATAAATTTAAATAAATATAGGTTAAAATTAGGTTGTTTTTTACAAAGCTAAATTTAAGAAGAAAAAAAAAAAGAGAAATAAATTATAATCTTTAAAAGAAAAATTGAAGTGTCCGCTGCAAGAATACTACTCAATTTTAAAAAAGATAAGTTGTAAATTAAGAGATTAACATTAATATATATATATATATATATATATATATATATATATATATATATATATATATATATATATATATATATATATATATATATATATATATTAGTTTTGTCATAAAATAAGCACTTTGATTATCTTCAATGAGAATGTGAATTACTCAAAATATAGTGTTTTCAGGTAAGATATTTTAATATTTTTTATTTAACACAACATATTTATGAATCTTATTTAAATGAATCTCAGTGAGGCTGATATTAAGGGGAGGAATATGTGCAGTAAGTCAAGACAATAATAGTCATATCTTTGACTAGAGAGACACCTTTGTAACACTTATTACTTCTACGTATAATAGGCCAAAAGTTTTGCTTCAAGGATATTTGAAAAGTTCTTGATGAATCATGAGAAACTAGATTGCCATATCCAATAAGAGGTGCGAAAGGTACCATTAAATCTCGTACAAGTTGACGTACCATTACAACTTTCATCTACATTAATAATGGTACATTGGAAGTTGAGGTAGTTCCACTCGATGAATCAGATATCTAGATGTCTTGTTTGAGGTTTAATGGAGCAAAACTTAAAGGGATCTGCATAGAGTGGAACAACATATGAGAATTGTGTAACACCTCAGTTTTAGTAAATTATTTGATTTAATTTAATTATATTTTTTGTTTATTTATTTGATCATTGTGTGTGGGGTGAAAAATGAATGTGGGTAAGAGAGAGTATGAGTGATCTTGCAGTGAGGTGCGGAAAATAATTAGAAAAAGATACAATAACTTAGAATTATTTTATTAATTGATATAATATTTTGATTTTATTATTTAAATAAGGCAAAATACAATTTTTCGTCCCTTAACTTTAGCTCGGGGTCCATGTTGGTCCCTTATCTTTAAAAAGTGGCAAGTTGGTCCTTTAACTTTTAAAATGGTGTCATTTTAGTTCGCACCGTCAGTTGTCCCAAAACGTCTGTTTGTTTTGTATATCTGGCAGATAACATGGCAATCTTGTTCATGACGTGGCTTCCTTCTCCCTCCTTCTTCCGTTGAAATCCCTAAAATAATCCCAAATCCCAAATTCCAATCCCAAATCCCTAAATTAATTTAGGGTTTTTTTATTTGGCAAACATGAAATCCAGATGGTGTCGATATCTTAGCCGGTTTCGAAGCTGCCATAAGTGATGGTGTTGATGTGATTTCAGTTTCTCTTGGTGCAAAGTCTTGTAATCTGTTTGCAGATTCAATTGCTATAGGCTCTTTTCATGCAGTTGCCAATGGTATAGTAGTAGTTTCTTCTGCTGGAAACTCTGGACCTTATTTCGGAATTGTTTCTAATACCGCACTTTGGTTTCACCGTTGCTGCTAGCACAATGGATCGAGACTTCACCAGTTATTTTATTTTAAATTTCTCAGTACTTAGAAGATTGTTTCATATGAACTCTTGTAGGAAACACTGTCGATTCGGAACATTTGATGTTGAAAAAGTGAAGGGTAAAATTGTGATATGCCTTGAAGATGAATATCTTGGAACATTTCATGCAGGTGCAGAAGCTTTTTCTGCAGGAGCAGTAGGAATGATTTTGGCTACTGAAATTGATAGCTTCTATGATTCTACTGCATACCCTCATATTTTACCTACTTCATATGTCAATTATACAAATTCTCAGTATATTGATTCCTACATCAAAAGTGAAAAGTAATGTTCTTTTTTCTATATTCATTTTTGTTTCCATTTTGTTATTATAGTTTGCAGAAATTGATGTTTCCTTATGTATTGCAGGAACCTTGTTGCTTACATAACAAAGGCAGTAACAGAAACTCTGATAATTCCAGCTCCAGTGATTGCTTCATTCTCATTTCATAATACCTATAAATTGGTTATGCTTTTAACATAAAGTTCATGACAGCAGGATACATAAACAACAACAGCAACAAGATACATAAACTTGTAATACATTCCATAAAATAGACTTGTTCCACAACTGATATGCATGTTCCAAAATAACAGTAGAATACATAAACTTGTTTATGACAACAGCAAAATACATAAATTTTTAATACAACTGATACACATGTTTCACAACAACAGCAAAATACATAAACATTGTAATACATTCCACAACTAGAGTTTTCTAGGTAACTGAATACACATGTTCCACAACTATAGTTTCTTCTTTAGCGTGGTCCTCTTGGAGTAGACCTTCTTGTTACTGGTCTTGTTGGCTTCCTTACAGACAGCGAGTGCAAGCTCTGTTTCACTTGGCTCTCTTGTGCCATCACCCGCAAACACTCCAAATGTATATCCAACAAGAACAAATACCATTCCTTGATGAGCCAGTTGAGTGATTGTCGTCCAACTGTAATAAAATCGATGCTCATTAGACTTCAATGATTTCACTTCACTAAATGGATGTTTCCCTTTAAATAAATAAATAAAAAAAGCAAAAATTATAAGAAAAATATGTCTATATTCCATCCTAATTTCACAGGCCAATTGTGGTTATTCCTTAATAAGCTTTGCATATTATCGTGAAATTTATATAACCATCGTTTGATTTCATCCATACGAATAGAAGATTCAGGAGTCACTGTAAGTTTCAAAGACACCAAATGTACTTGTGTTGACTGTTCCATAACCAAAAAGGCCTGGAACCAATGACTTAGCATACTTTCCTGCCTCAGTAAATATTTCAGGATCTTGGCCAAGTAAAATGAGAATGGATCTTGTGTTTGCCCAAATAATCGCAAGGGGAATCGCGAAGATCATGTTAATGAACATTACTCTCTGCGTGTGTATGCCTAACATGCGGTACTGTTTTGCGCCATATGACTGTCCACATAATGTGTCCAATCCACTTGCCATTCCTACCTGTATTTTAACCAAAACAAAAACAAAATAATTGTGATGCAGTGTCCGACACTCGAATGAAGAATCAAAAGCAAATAAATCAAATAAAAACTAACCAATAAACTGAAGCCAATGACAATAGCAAAAGAAGTAGCCACGGAAACACCAGAAAGAGTCAATTCACCAAGATGACCAACAAACATAATTGAAATGAGATTTATACCAAAATTCAAAAGTGAAACTGAAATTAACGGTCCTAATAGCCATAACTGTTTTTCACTTCTTGAATCAATTCTCTTCTATCTTTTTCCTTGTTGTTCTGATTTGTTTCTTCAACGATCAATCGAGAGTGAAGAGACATTTTCTTTCTTTTTTTCCCTTCCGTTTCTATCTTCTAGTATTAGTATCTCTGAAGAGGAAGAGGATGAGGGAGAGAGAAAGTGAAATCTAACACTTTTGTTTGGTTTTGATAAAAAAAAAAACATAAGAAGAGAGAATACGGTAACCTGAAAAACATAAATGAAAAGATTAATTTTGACAATAAAATTACAGATAAAATGATAAACTCAATTCATTAAAATTTAAATGTGTTAGATAAAAGGTTAGGTTAAACCCAACCCATCCTAATTCATATACACTTCTAATTTCAACTTCTGTCTCACACCTCCACGTTACTCTTAATTTGACCATAATAAATACCTCCACGTAGCATTTGAAGATGAGATGAGATAACTTTCTCATAAAGATCATGAAGCACTGTCTTCTTTGCAGGAACTCCATTTCCATCTGTTTGTGAGCATCTAACCCTACAAGAAAAAAAAACAACAGTCAAAGTTTGCCTCCATATAAATCTTGTTTGGTAAACAAAAAACAAGAAGCGATTATTCGTTGATGAAATATCGAATGCGAGGAAGTTAGTTTTGATGGATCTGGACCGAAGCGATTATGGTGAAGAAGCGTTTATTGCTTTTGGTGTTACAAGCTTTGAAAGTGAAAGTGAAGACAAACGTGGCAATTTTAAGTTATGCTTATTATTTATATTCACGTCAGCAGCTCCACCTGGACAAACGTGGCAATTTTTTCAAAGTTTGACTAACGACAACAAATTGAAGGATAAACGTGACACCATTTTAAAAGTTAAAGGACCGACTTGCCACTTTTTAAAGATAAGGGACCAACATGGACCCCGAGCTAAAGTTAAGGGATGAAAAAGATTATTTTGCCTTTAAAAAAAGTAAAAAGGATAAAAGGAAAATAAAAGTTTTAGAGATATTGAGACCAAGGTGAGGATTAGAGAGAAAAGTAAAGGTAAAGTATGAATAATATGATGAGGAAACTATGTTTTTAGTGTAAAAAAGAGAATTAGAATGAGGAGTTTAGTACGCAGAATTTTTGGGAGAAAAGATGAAAAGGATGCTAGGACAATAGGAAGAGCAATAGAAAGCATAGGGAG